AAGATGCATAAAATGCTTCAAATTACTGTACCTGAACTACATGAATTATTTTAGTTTGAATTTTTAATAAAAAACAATCGAATGAAATACATAAAATCCCATTTAGTTTATTAAAAAAGAAATAAACAAGTTCGAAATGATGTTAGATATATAAATTTAAAATATATTTTAAAAAGTGTTAAAAAAACTGCATAAGTTATTTCTAATTTCCAATGAACTTCATCCACCGTAATGATGCAAATTGGAAGATTGCATAATCGATGGGATATTACTTTCAACTTCTCTGCGCCATAAACCGTCATGAAACTCACCACTAGAGTCCTCCCAATCAGCATAGTTGCTTGTAATATACGAAGATGCAGTTTCATTATTAAACATAATAAAATTATGTAAGGCATTTTTTTCTGCATTTTCCGGAAATAAATGTAATGTTGTTAGTAAAACTCGCCAACGCGCTACTGGTATTCCAAAAGATTTTTCAGTTGTGCGACGAGCTCTTGATAACCTTTTATTAAAAACCTCTTTTTCATTTGGTAGCATTCCCCCAGGGTATGGGTGCATTAAATTTATCCCTAAAGGAAAGGCAGCATCATCAACGAAGAAGTGTGGAGTTTTTAGTTGCGTATTTGGTAAGTCTTTCGGTGGAGGTATGGGAAGTTTGCGATTTAGCAACCTCTTTCCCAATCGACTCACTTGAAAAATGCCTATACACGTAAAGAGAAACAATAATATTAATTAAAAAAAAAAGAAGTGCACAAATATAAAAGTCCTTACCACCATCATATGGAAGACCAATACTGCTAACAACACAATAGAACAAAATTTTTTGTAGCACAAAAATTTACTACCGCTTTTAGGTGGGCATCGAATAGAGATATGCTTCCCATCAATAGATCAAACACAGTTGGGCATATTCCACAGTTCCCAGAAATCTTGAGAAATTTGCTTGAAATCCTCTTCATTAGGCTCAGATACATAAACAGCCCCTAACTGCGTCCAAAGGACTTCAGCTGTCTCCAGAATAATACGCCTAACCGTTTCCTTCCCCAGTTGAAATGACCATGCCAACGATTGAAACGAAGTTCCTGGTGATAAATATTTTTAAGAAAAAGAAAAAAGAATAAGACATAATAAAAATGTATTAAAATGAACAAACTTACTGTAATGTCAAAGCTAATCGAAATTCCGGATGCACAGRCTCCCTCAACGAATTCTTTTTTAAAAAGGGCTCAGCAAGAGTAAGCAAAAGTCCATATACTTGTGGCGTCATTCGCGTGTTATAAAAAAATTAGTGTGGTCAATCCTTTTCATTTCTAGGAAACGTACAAAAAAAAACCATCCTTTTTCCTCTTTCTGTTTATTTCCCTCACTGAACATGACCGAACTCTTTTTTTTATAATTTCAATAATTCCTGTTAATATGCGTATTCCGTCTAAAACAGAAGTAAGCATTTTAATTGTTTTTAAATATTTTAATTTTCTATTAATTTTTGAAAAATCTAAACGAAATATAAAACCAAAACAAAAATTGCTTATTGACACTTTTCTTCTGCATGTAAGTACATTATAGTCATTCAAAAGTCTACTCTTCATTCGTTATA